CAAGCCTTGATCGATAAAAGCACCATTATGTTAGACTTTGTATTTGCCCAGCTTCGACATGATGAACGTCCCTTCTTGGAGGTTTCAATTTATGGAATTAGCATGTTAGGCCTTTAAGATTTAGGGGATTAGGCCGGAAAGGATGCGAAGTGCTAAGACACTTACACTTACCCGTGTTGAAAAGTGAGGTCTGTTGTTGTACAGTAGCTAACGGGGAAAGGTGTGAGGTAGCCGGCATGTTCTATTCCCATAAGCCTAAAAGGAAAACTAAAAATTCTCGATTTCTTATTTAGGCCCTCGTTAAATCTTACCTTAATATTAGGCGTTGACTTTTGGAGGAAAATGGGATTATTCCTAACCTTCGAGATAAAGAATGGAGATTTGTGGCGAAATCCGAGGTTCAACTGGATGCAATCATACCGCATTGTCAATAAACACCTGAGCAAATTAAAGATCCTGATTCCTTAATTGAGTCCAGTTTCTCTCACATGGAACAGGAGGTAGGATGCACGCATTTAGTCACGCACAAAATAAAAACTTCTGCAGAACCCATACGACAAAGGTATTACCCAGTGTCACCGGTAGTCCAGAAACAGATTGAGGAAGAACTGGATAAAATGTTGGCAGCCGGTATTGTTGAACCATCGACCTCTCCGTGGGTCTCGCCAAAAGTTTTAGTTAAAAAAGCAGATAACAGTCGTTACATCAGGGGGTGCAGGACGTGCCTTAGTTATAAAGTTGACCAAAAGAAGCCTAGTGGTTTAATGGTGGGTCTTACTCATATCTCCAAGCCCTCGGAGATGATATCAGCGGACTTAATCGGTCCTCTTCCTAGATCGACAAGAGGATATTCCTGTTTTTGTCGTAGCTGATTACTTCAGTAAATTTCCAGTAATTTGCGCTCAGCTACTTCTCCTGCAATTATAAGAGCTCTGGAAGAAAACGTCTTTTTATTATTCGGGGTTCCGCGTGGGATAATTGTAGACAATGGAGTACAATTTCTAGGCCGTGAATTTCGTAAACTGTGTAGTAAATATGGGGTAAAAATATCTTATACAGCCCTTTATCACTCACAGGCAAATCCCGTCGCGAGGGTAAACAGGGTTTTGAAAACCGTACTAGCGAAACCGAAAATTACGTGGAGAACAAAGTACCATCTCTATAGACCGACGCAGTGCCAGAACGAGAGTTCCAGCAGCTTCTTGATCACGAGGTACTCGAAAATTTCCACAACAAAAGACAGCGAATCTGTTTCGTGAGCGGTCCGTGCAAAGTCCATCTGGGGAACCAATTTCCATTCGTACAGCGAATCAACGAAACGCCACGCCTAGATCTTCGGCGGCCTGTGGGTGTTCAACTACATCCAAATACCAGGGGCGGATCCAGACGATTTCGCATCGAAGCGTCCACAAAGACACAACCCCCTAGTGCATGAACAATCAAGCCTACTTGGGCGTTGCCTTAAGACGGCGTTTTGTGAACGCCAATTACCTATAAATGCTCGACTCATGCCGAGATATAGAACAACTTAAGACCTTCTACAGGGGCACCTCTAAAAAAAGCAATATGCGGGTCACTCTGTAACTGGGCGTAAGCCTGTTAAACGCGTAGAACAAGAGGGACAATAAATACTTTGGCATGGAAGGCGCACAATTTCTGTCACAGGTTGTAACATTTTTGTTTACGGTCACTGCATTTCTTTGTTTGACAACCTCTGTAACAACTTAAGCGTTGTGTAGTGGTGGCCACTTACGGTAGCTTTTGTTTTCGCGCAAGCTTCAGACCGCTTCTTCGTCTTTTTTTTACTTCCGGTTAGGCATTGTACTGCAACCTGCAACACGCCTTCCATTGGACACGTTAAGTAAAAGTTGGAAAAAACACGTGGTTTTTATTGCTGATGGTAGCACCATCTGCACCGAACTGTAATTATTAATCTATTGGTAGTACCGTACCGACATCGAGTACTGATTTCATATTGGGCATCGATTTCTGGGATCGTATGGGTATTGTACCTAATATTTCTGATACTTGCTGGCATTTCACTTCTGATCTACTCGCGAAATCAATTTCTGCCATTGTAGAAAGGCCTCTTCTGAGTGTCGAACAGCATCGCTTTAAAGGTTCTTCCTACTATTAGATTTGACGCAATGGAAACGATCTTGGGTTTAACCACCGTGTGTGAACAAGAAATTCTTGTTGACCCTAACGTGACCCCGATTATATCCTGTTAGCACAAAATCATCAATGAAGAGATTGATCAAATGTTCTCAGCGAATTATAGAACCTTCGAATAGCGGGTAGGCATCTCCAATATGTATGATTCCAAAGAAGGACGGTACATATAGATTTTGTGTCGATTATCGTAAGTTGAACTCGGTCACATTAAATGATGCCTTTCCCGTCCCTTACGTTTCTACGATTCTAGACCAACTACGAGACGCGCGATTCCTCAGCTCCATCGATATCAAATTCGTATATTGGCAAGTTGGAATGACTTCGAGACCATGCACTGCTTTCACCGTGCATCGACGGGGCTTGTTCTTGTATCAATTTTTCAGAATGCCTTTTGGGCTGACGAATGCACCGGCGACATAGCAACGTATTATTCAACAAATTCTGGACCCAATGTGTTAGTCTCGATGACGTGATCATCGTCTCTTCTGATTTTGACTCGCATCTCAAAATTTTGTTTGATCGATTTTTGGCAACTGGGCTCCTCGAACTGAAATATCTTGGGTACGTAGTCGATTCATTTGGGTTGCATCCGGACCCGGATCCAGTTAATACCATCTGACAAATTAATTCCCCTACTAATGTCAAGGAAGTACGATGGCAGTTTTTGGGAACCTGTGCTTGGTACAGGATATTCATTCCAGATTTCTCAACTGTTGTTGTTCCCTTAACCAGAGTGCTTAAAAAAGATGATAAATTTGTGTGGGAATCTGGATATGGAGAAGCTTTTGTCCTATTGAAAGAAATTTTAACCATCGCACCTTCACACTGACGCTGCATCTTTTGGGTTAGGTGCCATGCTTACTCAGATATTTCGTAAGGGTGAACGTGTCATTTGTTAGTTGTCCAGATCTTTACCTCGGATCGAACGCGATTACAGCACCACAGAACATGAGTGTTTGGCAGTAATTTTGAGCGTCGAACAATTCAGGCATTACCTTAAGGGTGTTTCCTTCACCGTAGTGACGAATCATCACTGTTTATTGTGGCTTCATTCCCTCAAGGATCTGCAAGGACGCTTAGCGAGATGGGCCTTACAACTTCAACCTTACTCCTTTACTTTAGTTCATCATAAAGGCAAAGAACGCTTGGTAACTGGTTTATTATCTCGAACCCTGAACATTTCTCTAGGACCACATACTTGGTATCATAACATGTTTGACTGATTGCAACAGCATCCGCACAAGTACACGTCTACTGCGCCAAAGACAATCAATTTGCAACTTGTTACATAAATAGCTATTATATTCGACTCGGAATTATTCGGCTAAATTAGCACCACGATTCTTAGGACCTTTCACCATCCGTCTTAAAGCTAGTTACCTAAGTTACGAGGATCCTAGAGCATTTTGAACGTCTCCATACAAAGATTGGAAAGCACCAGACCTAATTTTTAAATGTTCCAGATCCCTAATTATTTCTATATTCTCATCACAATCTGTTTTCTGCGCCTCCCAACCTCCATCTAAACTAATTTCTTTACCAAAATTTATAAGGGGTACACCCTGTGGCTTCATGCTTCGAAGTGCAGATTGCACTTGTCTGTATGAAGCTAGTAAGTAATGTAAACAATTCGCTCGGTAAAGCACGGTTTGGATGCGCGAATCAAACTAGCGCAGGTTTCGAACCACCTGAAAAAAACTCGTGGAAGCCGAGCTCCTGGCGCGAATGCACTTGTATTTATACCCGTCCTCTTAGTATCTATTGTAATTAGGTTCCGTGTATTTCAACTACTACTGCGCATTCTTTCACAAGCCAAATCATAAATAGCACAAAACAATTTTAGATTAAGTTGACCCCCCCCCCCCTTCAACTTTTTATTCCTCAGAAACGAAACGCGGACATAAATTCATAGATTCATAGAAAGATATTCGTGAGAAAACGACAAACGAATTAAATATTTCATTCAACCTCAGACGCTGGGCATCAAGTCTACAGTTTTCCTCATACTGCGCCTAACGTACTAACAAATGCATTTTGGTTCGCTCTTACTGCGGCAAAAGTAGCGGAAGCTAGTGCTCTATTTACATAAAATTTTAATGAAGAGCAAAAGTAATGGCTTTAATTTGACCGACAAGTGGAAGGTAAGAGTACTCGAAGTAATCGATGTATTCAACTGCATACACTTAGAAACATTCGTTAAGTTCAATGGCCAATATCGCATGTCGGTTTTTGAGCACATCGAAATATTTCAATAGGATAATTATAAGCTCTATTTATAGCGCAATTTATGGAACAAAAGATAACGCAATTGTTTTTGTTTCATTTGTCATACTAGAGTTAAACCGTTCCCATAGATGTTTCCAACCCTCCATATACAACATTGATTTGGGCTTCTCAAATTTACAGAAGATTGCGAAAGCATGACGTCATTGTACAGTCATTTCCCGTGAAGTTTTTCCAGTGCTCGAGTAAAAAGTTTGAAACTTAAGTGGGGTCGCGGCCCGAGTTGGCCAACTATTACGAGCTGCAAAATTCGACGCACTTCAGAGAAAAATGGCGTAAAAGCGAAGTTTTCGCATTGACTCTTGAATTCCAGCGAAAGTTGTTGAAACTCGTTGACGTTTCGTGTTGAAACAACTGTCGAGTTTAATTTGGGTTATCAGTTCGATAATTGCCAAATCGAACCGCGTCAGCCGAATTGTGAGGGAGGTAATGAAATCTCGGCACGTTTGTTTGAACAAAAAGCGTACAAAATTTTCTGCCGCACATGCGTCCACGGAGGCACGCCGCCGCTCCATATTGAGCGAAACGCAGCCTTCAGTCGTTTGCAAGTATTCCAATTGTTCGCATTGTTGCATAACCCGTGCAGCCGGAGGTGGGCGTTCCGACAATGTTTTTGACAATACAACTTTCCGTCTCTCTCCCACACGCATAGCAATACCGCTTCTCCATCCTTTTCTATAACATTGCTTTTGTGCCAATTAATTACGATCGAATTTTTGCGCATTTTTTTTAAAAGATAGTTAAGTCACTCTGTCGAAAATTTCCCGGCCAGCTCGGTCTCATCTCGTAGGGCATTTTAATTAAAGTAATGAATTTGAACGTGGCTCGAGAGTCCTTTGATTGAAACTTGGTAATTTTGTGCAGTGTTAAGTTAATATGCCTCAAGGGCCCGCGACTAATCCCTTTATGAAGCCATTCGTGGTGCTGGCGTTACCTGGAATGTATTTATTTTATAAATACAATCAATATAGAAGACGAAAGAAAGAGAATGCTAAAAGAAGATTAACGGAACGAGAGCTTCAGCACTTGAATAATAAGATCGTAAGTTTCTCTTCCTTTTTCTTTAATGATGATGATAATGAATGCGCGGTTCATGAACGAACACAGAAAAAATGACGGATAAAGGGAAGTGTCCCCATCCCCTTTTCTGTAGAAATAAAAGCACATGCCACTTTTTCAGCCGGGATTTATGAAAGGCATTTGTATTCGAGCCGCTCGTCGTCGCCGCCGCCGTACGAAAATATTTATCTCTTGGGTTTTACTGCGGCAGAAACACAATCTTGGAATGTTTCTATTTGTTAGAGAACATTTAGGGGTATGTTAGCACGCCTTTTTCCAACTTCCTCATTGCGGTCGTCGCGGCGATTGCGATTTTGTTAATATTCTGCAATGGACCAATTTTTGGCAAAGCACCGTATACGGATATATCGATTGCTTCAATCCCCCCCTGTCTTTCGTTTCGCGAGGGGTTCGAGATAATGTCGCCTTTTGGAAGCGCTACAAAGTTTATAATCTGATTACATGCGCTTCAAAAATTATTTAGGGTTCATTTTACAACAATCCTCTTTACAAACTTCGCTGGTTTCCGAAACAAATGCTAGTGGTATTAATAAAATCGATACGATTTGTTCACAATTTTTTGAAAGACCCTGGTACTCTATCACAGGGGATTTAATTATACATATTCATACAGTCAACATGTATAATTAGAATCGAGTTTAGTATTTTGATGAGATTCGGTATCTGACGACACGTGCTGGTCCCCCCCCCCCCCCCTTTTTTTTGATATTTTTCTAATGTTTCTATTATTAGGGAAGTGATGATTTTTGCACACGTGCCGAGTTTGAGGGGGGGGGGGTATATTAAAACTAATTCCAAAAAGTATCGCTATCGCTATATAGATCAATGAAGATACTGACTTTGTGCTTCAATGGTAGAGCGTTGGGCTATAAATCCGGAGGTCGGGTGTTCGAACCTGGGTTGAGGTGAATTTCTCATCTGTGGCAGACATGGGAATTACCTTAGAGTTTCGAGCATTCTGCCGGCTGCTCCGAATTAGGTTTTCCCGCAGTTTTCCTAATTCGTAAGGTAAATACGGGAGTAGAAAAAAGTTTTTTAACATATCTTACCTTTCATCATGCATTAAATGCAAACAAACTCTTTGCACCAATATAGTTTCTTAGGAACCCTTTATAGTATACCGGGTGTTCCTAAATATCATGGAAGGAGCTAACTCTGACTTATTTTATGACATATAAACATAGATCCGGAAACGCTTCGTTACCGATCTACAGGGTGTTAAAATTACGAGATTTTTCTCCTGCAGTTATTGAAATATTTCGCTCAGATTTATTTCGATAATATCTTTTTCATTAGTTTTGAAAGTTGACATTGAAAATTGTGTTTGCATATGTTAAATTCAAGGTTTAAATTGTAAAGTGTACGGTAAAACTATAACACTCTGTAGACCGGTAACAAAGCGTTTGCATATATGTGCTTGTGTGAACTTTTAGTCATAAAATAAGTCAAAGAATTAAACCCTTTTGTATTTATACCATATTTAGGAACACCCTGTATTATGTCTATGTCTAATTGTGCGCCTAATTGTGTAAATGTAATTCGGTTTAACTATAAATATCAATTTAATGTCAAAGCATGTAAAAAGGTTTTCGCAACTTTAACACATTTTCCATGCATTTACCAGTAGTTCCCAAAAGGCTATGGCTATGTATTTCTTTACTAGAAGTATCTGTGGTTAAAATTTCAAAAAATATCCTCGATAAATAAGACAGTTATTGATATTGCGCGTCCTGCGCATGCGCACATTGATCGTTGGCACAGATGCCAGAGCTATAAGCTACCGAATTCAAAAAGAACGAACTAAATATCTTGAAAACTGTAGGAGTAGTTCCGTAATTCTTAGTGCTATCAAAACATGTCCTCTATTTGGGTGCAAAATTAAAATTTAGATTTAAAATTTTTGTTCACTTTGGAGATACGGGGAAAAATCAAAAAATTGTCAATTTTATAATGACGCTATATCTCGTTAGTTAAAAGAGGTGTACACCAATGTTTATTACAACAGCTTCTTTTATAATGATTGTTGAATAATCTTAAAATATAGAGGGTGTTCCATTAAAAAAAATGTCTACCTTCTTACACTTATTTTAAAAACACCAATAAAACTCCAAAAAATTCAATATTGGTTCAAAAAGACCCAAACAAAATTTCTAAACGAATTCAAACATTCATAAATCTTTTTGAATTTTTTTGTATGTTTTGGATCATTTGAATCTTTTTTAATATAATTCCTAATGTGTTATATTTTTGAAAAAAAAATTTAATATGCGATCTATTTAAATTAAAATATACAGGGTGTTCCATTAAAAAAATGTTTTAGCTTCTTACACTTATTTTAAAAACACCAATAAAATTCCAAAAAATTCAATATTGGTTCAAAAAGACCCAAACAAAATGTCTAAACGAATTCAAATATTCATAAATCTTTTTGAATTTTTTGTATGTTTTGAATCACTTGAATCTTTTTTAATATAATTCCTAATGTGTTATATTTTTGAAAAAAAATTTTAATATGCGATCTATTTAAATTAAAATATACAGGGTGTTCCATTAAAAAAATGTTTTAGCTTCTTACACTTATTTTAAAAACACCAATAAAATTCAAAAAATTCAATATTGGTTCAAAAAGACCCAAACAAAATGTCTAAACGAATTCAAATATTCATAAATCTTTTTGAATTTTTTGTATGTTTTGAATCACTTGAATCTTTTTTAATATAATTCCTAATGTGTTATATTTTTGAAAAAAAATTTTAATATGCGATCTATTTAAATTAAAATATACAGGGTGTTCCATTAAAAAAATGTTTTAGCTTCTTACACTTATTTTAAAAACACCAATAACATTCCAAAAAATTCAATATTGGTTCAAAAAGACACAAACAAGATTTCTAAATGAATTCAAAAGTTCAGAAACCTTTTTGAATTTTTTTTGTATGTTTTGAATCACTTGAATCTTTTTTAACATCATTCCTGATGTGTTATATTTTTATAAAGAAAATTTAATATGCGATCTATTAAATTAAAATATACAGGGTGTTCCATTAAAAAAATTTTTTTAGCTTCTTACGCTTGTTTAAAAACGGCAGATTTGTTAACAATAATTATAAAAAAAACGCGCTTCTGAGTGCTCCGTATTTATTTCACAAGTTTTTCTGTTTGTGTGAGTGAATTTCAAAAATGATTTCAGATTAAGAAAACACCTGTTTGGCGCAATTATGCTGATGTACGGAACGAAGGTATGGGGATGAAAGGAACGAGATAAATTAAAAGGAATACAAAGAAGGAATTATAATTGGGAACTGGAGCTAAACGGAAGGACACCAAATTACATATAGAAGGAAATAAGAATAGAGTCAGGATGCATGGCGGTAAAATTCGAGGAACGGAGAGATGAATTTGTAAAAGAGGATGAACACAAAAGGGATACGGAGGAAGGTAAAAATGTTAGAAAGAAACGGATACGGATGGGTATAGGTCGAGAGCAAGAGCTGCGGAGGAAACGAAAGGTACAGGGAGCTAATAACGAATGGGATGCGGAAGTATCTAAGGGAGGGCAAACAAAAACATTAAAATAATTGCGTGGTTCAGATGCGGACACGAGGAGAGGGAAAGGACAGGAATGTAGAATAGGCGCAGCGAAACAGGATGACGTTGATCACCTGATAGGGGAAAAAATCAAAAAAAAATGTCAACTTTAGAATGTCCCTATATATTCGTAATTAGAAAAGATACAAAAACTGTTTTATACTGATTGTTGAATAGTCTACCGTTTTCAGAATAAGGTTATCGAATTTAACCTCATTTTTTAAATGCAACGTACTGTATATTTTAATCTAAAAAATAGCACATTAGTCTTTTTTTAAAAAATAGAGGTAACGCTGTGGATGCTATTCAAAAAAAGATTCAATTGATTCAAAACAATTCAAAACAGATTAAGAAAAATTTAGAAAAGTTTCAAGTAATTAATAAAATCCTTAATCTTGAAATGTTTTATTTCTTTTGGATCTTGTTTTAATGTCTTATGTGTGTGAATAATCTGCGATTTTTATAATAAATATACGGGGTCAGGCGAAAAAGTTATCGGATTTAACCGTATTTTTTCAATGAAACGCCTTGCATTTTTAATTTAAAAGCAAAATTTAGGTAACACACCGTGGATGATATGAAAAAAAAATGCATGTGATTCAAAACAATTCAAACAGATACAGATTTTAAAAAATTCAAAAAAGGTTAACTAATTGAAAAAATCCAAAAAATTCTTGAATGAATGAAATTCTTTAATTTTTTGAAAGTTTTCTTTTTACGTGTTATGATTTTTAAAAGAGAATTTAATATGCTAATTTAAATTTAAGTCTATAGGGTATATTATTTAAAAAATGAGGTTAGGTTCGCTAACTTTTTGCTTGACCCCGTATACGTATTGTAAAAACGGTAGATTATTACTCAACAATCATTACAAAGAAACTTTTGAGGTTCTTTTAATCTTCAAATTTTGATTTTACCATTTTTGTTGCTTTGATTATAGTACTAACAATTACAGAGTCGCTAAAGAACCGACAGAATTGTTTTATAGGTTCCCAAACTCTTATTAAGGTTTTGTAAAATACGTTTGTTGCATGCGGCTTGCTGTCGTCGCAAGTGGAATAAAAGTATTCAATCCTAAATTAAACAAAGCTTGAGCTCTGCAAACAACCCGCAGGAAAATTAATTAATTTCGCACTTTTGTGTGCGCAGCTAAAAGTAGACACTAATAACATGTGAACACTTGTTCCAGGCTAGATAACCGTAACGAGAATTTTTAACAGTACATAAAACTTTTACTGAATTAAACGACGAACACACAGCGCTATGCAGGGTGGTCCCACGTCGAATGCCGGCTATATCCCGAAATAGAGGCATCGGAATATTTGGAAATTTGATAGTATACTTACTGATATTGATGAGAGGTATTTATCTAAAATATGTTCCAGTTAACCGGAAGTTGATGCCACCTTGCTTATGTTAAATAGAACATCCTATATATTATTTCAGTTTTACAGTGTATGTAAAATTCTACATACATGCCATGTACAATGCATATTTAATTTTTATATCAAAGGTGACGTATAGAATCCCAAGTAGAAAGAATAAGGGCAAGTTTGCGTAAAATAGTTCATTCCAAAAAGGGTACAGTTTTAAAAATTTGTGGTATAGTTGGCCATGACTCCTCATCGTGGCGACGAAAAAAAAAACCCTTTTTCTTACTGATTATTCACCACAAAAACTAGACACACAAAATGTAATGCCATTTATTTTAACATTTCAACATATTTTAAATCATAACATTTGGCTTGCCCAAGTTACACGAGACTCTAAATTTACTGGATTAGTAAACAAACGTGACACAATTTAAGAAACAATGACACGTTAACTCAAATCTAACATTAAACTCTAAGTTGCTCAAATACTTTTGAAATTAAATCCACCCACAACAAATTCAGTGTTTATCAAACCCCACACCAGTCCAGAGAGCGTAACGGGAACTTTGGGTTGCTTACCCCATATCTTGTATTGCTAGTTGATAAATGGCGACCGAAGAGTTAGTGAACCGGTCATTTAATCAATTCCCGAATGGACCTGAACATTTTCAGTGAAAGTGTCTTTCCGGACAAAAGTGGAACATTGTGGTTTTTTGTTGAAAGGCGCCCTACTTTCTCTCCGTATTCTTTGCCACCGTGGGAAGTTAATTTGACAAACTGTTTGCTCTGTCCATTGGCGTCAGTCGTAAGCGGTAAGGGATGGGCCGAGATTGTGAGCTAGTCCACGAGTGCAGAGTGACGTGGATGCTTGGAATGTTTTTAGCATGAGAGAAGCACCTAATCCCATATTAAACACTGATTTTTTCATAAACTCTTGTATGCATTCATTGACAAATACGGAAATTACCCTTTAGGTCATCCCTCCGTTCTAATTGGCATACAATGTAAGAGATGAATTGATGGCACAACAAATAGGTTAATTAAGTGTCTAAAACTACTTCAAGAATCAACCTGTACTTAAAAATCTAAGTAAAGAAATTATCATAGTCACCTTTTCTTTTTCGTCCATTACCAATGAATTTCGAATAGATGAAGTTCAAACGAAGATACTTCGGAACTTCACTTCTTTGACTTCACTTAACCTCACTTAAAACTTAGATGATACTGACTTCGTTATAATTACAATTATAGCATTGGCCTTTTGATAGTGGGCTCTAACGGGTATTGAGAAACTTTATAGTTCATAGAACTGAATATCTTACAAAATGCTTCGATTACCGGCAAAACTGACTGTTTTGCAACAAATACCGCCTACTAAGCAAAAAGGCACGATTAACGTCCGTCTCGTCATTTAAAACAATTTTCCATTCATTTCAACTTCCGCCTCAACTCCGTTAAAAAATGACTGTGTTTCGGCAAAAACATCTGTGATAACACGTTCTTCTCTCGAAACTAGTTAGCCTACGCAGCCTTAACAAAATTTCTTATCCACGGCCGGAGATAAACATTTGCAATGACAATAAACTTAACTAACACCTCAATCAAATTTTACAATAAAATAAACAACGAATTTTAATAGAAAACCTGGGACATTTTCATAGGAAGATTAATCGTACACAATGTATCTAACATAACAGAAATATGAAGATATACATTGAGAATTAATTAAACCGCATATAGGATTTGGCAAGCATTCTTTCTGCTATTTCTGGTTCTGGTGGTTTCGTAGTCATCGCGAAGACCTTTAACGCCATCTGCTCCCTCTCGTCCAGTTTGATAACGGTCGTTTCCAACGCCTTCAACTCGTCCTTCGTTAAGACGGGAACGCCGAAATTGTGGACGACACCTCCCGGTCCAAACTTAACAGTCGTCACCAAATATCGACAGGTTTTGATAATATTTTGACGTATGTACGCCGTGCTGACCGCGTAATCGTCACCGCACAAACCGAGGGAGAGGGTGGTCACGAATCGATTGATTGCGTACGCTTCGCTTATCGCATTGACCATCATTATCGGGGTTTTGCACTTTTCGGCAACGGCCTCTTTCCAGTTTTTCAAAAACTCGTTCAGTGCTTTACCATCTTTCCTTAAGACCTGCACGGGTCGGGCACGTGAAAATAGCGGTACAACGTTGTCTGTGTCTGGTCCTCCAACAAACGGCACGTGCACAGAGTTCGGGTCCAATCCATAGTAGTTCCCAACGTACGCATTGACCCTGGTCTAAATTCCTTCGTAATTAAGTGAAGTCGTAGTTTGACAGTACCTGCATTAGACTAGCGCACCCGATGATTCTCCCCGGATGGTACCAGTGGGTACCTCGAAAAATGTCGGACACAATCGGGAACGTGCACGAAATCGGACGCACGCAGACCCCAATCAGAGATCTTGGAGCGAATATCGTGCACGCCTTCGCGTACATCACCAGCCTGTCCATTTCGCTCCGCAAGCGCTCCTCTGCAGTTGCATGAATTGGAACCTTATCTACTCCGATTAGCAGCACAATGTCGGCACACTAAAAGATGAATGGGCGGCGAAACCTTCCACAGTGACTTACCCTAACCGTGCTGCTTATACCTACGGGACCGTGATGCGCAAAGACCTCGCATCTTGTATCCATGTGGCGCAAGTCCGCCGCCAGACCGTGCACCGTTATGTCGCCGTGCAGATAAATTTGGGCCACGATCGGATTTTGCTTCAGAAGGAACGCGACAAGTTCGCCGGTCGAGCTCTCGGCTCCGAGTATTGCAACGCGAATCGCTTTTTGGCGAAATGTCCCGTCCGTCGTCCTCGGATACTCGGCGCCGCAACCTGAAAGACGCCGATGGAGGGATAGGGTCGAGTGAACCGGAGCGAAATACCAAAGGCCGTTCGTTTGATCAGCCAATTTAGGCTTCTGAGTCTTAACATCATCGTTATGTGGTACACTGTAATTTTGACAAGTTTGACTATTTTGACATTGTTGATCAGATCATTTTCAAGGCGAACTGATATAGTGGATAAGATGAGGAATGTGGTCACAATCAGCACCAGGACCCTCCAGAATATTTTTGGGACATATTGGCCAACTCGGAAAGGATGTAGAAGCCGAAAAAAATTTACGAGAAGAACTTTTTCGGAAAATTCCAGAAATATAAAACCCGGTTTCGACGGGATCAGTCACGTGAGCTCCCACAAGGTGGCACAACTTGAAGGAGCTACGATTAACCATCATATTTGCGATGGAAATATTGGTTTGGGATGGGGAATCCGTACGGACACCCGGTAGTGTAGGGTTTCTACCTACTAAAACCCTTCTCCCGTTAACCAAAAGTTCCATCCCCAATCCGGAACCGCGTGAGTATTACTTAAGGTTGGGTAGTGTTGCGTGGCCTGGTACATTCTCCTCTGGTGGTATTTTCCACATTTACTATTGTACTCAGGGTGACGAAATTACTTGTTCTGTTCCACTTCTCCCCCTCGCTGCACATCACCCTTATTCTGCGGCGTTAAATCGACCCCCACTACCGCCTCAAGTGCTTTTCTAGCATGGCTCCACCTCATCCACCGGAAGAAAGGATGATCCTCTCATTCGACAATCGAGGCAGAGGTAATTCCTTCTTTGCCCTAGCTTGTGGAGGTAACTACCTAGCTCACCGTGCCCCGTGAGGAAATGGGTAAGCAGCTAGTTTACCTCTCCAAGCTCACGCCCAACCTATTCCCGCAAGCTCGTAATCAGGGTGTGAGTCCAAGAATTACTCTATTACTCTATTTCTTCTGCTCTGCCCTGATCCTTGCCGGTGCAATGCCGGCGATCACTAAAACGTCGTCCTCAGCTGCAGTGTGATAGTCGCTACGTATTCTTATGGCGATCAGACGTAACAGCCTAACCATAAGGTTTGCAGCGATGTGCTGCCCCCTATATGTCTGCGTCATATCCACCACATTAGCAAAGACCCAATTCGCTTCGACCCCCCCCCCTACGTTCGACCCCACTAACGACTTTTCCACAACATGACGGACGTGGTTGGCAAACGTTAAGTATCTGTCGATAACCATGCCTAAGATCTTAATGGATCTGGCCGAATGGTCAGTTCTCTGCCGTTCGTCCAGTTTGCTATTTCTTCGACAGAACGTTTCATACGTGCCACCGCCACCCCCTCCTTCCGATCGCGCTCCGTAACGGTGAGGTCGTCGGCAAACCCCTGCGGGATACCAAAGCCTCAGCACCCGGTCGTACATCACGTTCCACATGGTGGGTCCTAGGACCGACCCCTGTGTAACCTCCGCCGTAATCGCCAGTTCTTGTATTTCCCCACACGGTGCGGACGTGTACTGTTCTCTTTGCGGATGTAGTCTCGGATTATCCTCCTCAAGTAAACGGACGTCTCTAGTGTCCGAAGTTCCTTGCGTATTCCCTACCTTGATGCCTCCTTAAAAGCGTACCTCACATCCAGTGAGGTCACAAGGCACACCTCCCTGGTTCTCCATGTGCATTCGCCACTCTTGATATGATGTACCGCCGCGCATCACTAGTTGTCTGGCCCTTCAAAATCAAATCAAAATCACACAGTCTATTTTTAGCGCATTTTTTTAAGAATTAAAAAAAAATGTGCTATTGTTTGCGTTTTGTTCGTCTGTCCGTCCTTTTTCCGTTTCGAACTACTTCTAGGAGAGTGGGGTTAAAAATTAATTTTATTTCTCATTGTATTCTAATTAAAGGTCTCAACGAATGAACAGTTTTCTACCAACTACTGCCCTTCTGTCTGTCCTATTATCAAAGTACGGGGTGGAGTGGGAAGGGGGGGGGGGGGGGGGGGAACTAGTTTTATCCTTCATGGTACTCTAATGAAAGGTATCAACGAAAGGAATTAATTTCTACCAACCATAGCCCTCGTCCTCGTCCTCGACCTCTTATCGTGATCGGTATATTCCCTTTTACCTCAAGAACGAATTGTCGGAAGAGGGTACTCACAAAGGGCGATTGAGACGTCTGCAAGAAATATACATAGTTCGTACTTATCGTTAGTTAGTCCAAATTCTCCTTTTTATCGCATTTTTGCAAATTTATTTCATTTTGTCTGGCTGGCTTGGCTGGTTAGCTAGCTGGCAGCAAATGCGGACCCGCAGAAGAACACTTGTGGAAAGACGATGAGTGCAGTACATATTCCTACCGAAGCCGTGTAATTAACAACTTTAGGGATATACTGTGGGATCGGCGACATCTGGGCGCCATCCCCGAGTGTGTTATACTAACGTGGTGATTGTTCAATTTTTTAGCGTATTTTTTAAGAATGAAAAAAAATGTGCTATTGTTTGCGTTTTGTCCATCCGTCCGCCCGTCGGTCCGTGCACCCGTCCAACCGTCCGTCCTGACCCACTTCTAGTTAAACTTTAGAAAATGGGGGGGGGGGGGGACATGTTCTACCCTTCATCGTATTCTAATGAAAGGCCTCATCGAAATAAATTGTACAAATTATACTTTCCCGCGCGACTCTTTTTCGAGATCAGTGAGCGACGGGGCCTGAGAAGGGGGGGGGGGGTTAAAAATTAATTGTATCTCTCATTGTATTCTAATTAAAGGTCTCAACGAAAGGAACCAATTGAGACGTCTGCAAGAAATATATCCATTGGTGATGTCAAAATTGGTGATTCCAAAAGCTTTCCAACCGAGTTTACAAGGCATATAGGACTATTTCCCTTTCGGTATCAATAGCAGCTCACACCGCTTCCGGTCTTTGGAATAACTACTTACCGTTAGCAATAACGTCGGTACTATACAGGGTGTCCCTAACGCCGGATCCTTGAGGAACAACCCCGGCACTCCGTCCGAGCCTGGAGCTTTGTTTGCTGCTATTTGTCTCGACGCCTCGACTACCTCTGCGTCGCTGCGTGCACAACCCCGGCATCATTGCCGTGCTGTGGATCCCAATCGGGAAGAGTCTATTGTTTCCTGGAAGGTTTTTTGTTCAGCCCACATTTGTCTCCGTTGTTTTGATCTTTTTAGTTACGAACCTATAGTCCCTCCTCGATGATGAACCACTCCACGAAAATTTTCGTTATCATGTTTCCCCCCCGCCCCTCTCTTCCGGATTTCTTTCAAAGGTTCCCTACACAGGGCTTCATCCTTGAGGTCTTACAGCACATAATTGTGGTCGTTTAATTTTGCTTCCCCAGTAGGCCGAGTGAGCATCACAGTCGCCTTCAACGTTGGCGCCTCCCCCCGCTCTCCCTCTTCCGGACATCCCCATTCAATGCTTCCAACATGGTCTATCCTCATATTTGGCGACTTATGCATACTGTAGACTATGGTATCCCACGTATCCGTCTCCCATGGTGTCGCATTTCTTTTTTAGCGCAACCTCCGACCCCAAATCTAGAGGTTGTCGCCTAAAATATCACAGATTAAATCATCACTCAATTGATCACCAATCTGTAGCGCTGTCCGCACCCCCGACTCATCACGGTTAACGGCAGTGTCACAGTAGACAATCCTAGAGGATACACTTTGGTTTATCAGGACAGTCATCAGCTAGGTGATCTGGTCTCCCACAGTTTAAGCATAACGCCGATCGGCCCGGGCCTTTACAGCGTACCTGCCAGTGGTCTTTCTCCCAACATCTGAAGCACCTTGCTTCCAACTCCTCTCTCGCACCGAGTACTCTAGCGCTGCCCACGTCTCTATTAACGTTCCTAATATTCTTAAGTCTTTGGTTCCCCTATGGGCTGGCCTGCCTTTGCGCCTCTTTTATTTCCTATTTCTGCGCGCTGACCCCCTTCGCTCCAGTTGCATATATTTCTTCTCCCACTTATTCTGTAGCCTTTCTAGCTCCCCCTTCAGCTGACCTACCTTTCCCCAGCGAAGGTTAGTGCTGTCGAGCTGATTTGTTGTTTGGTCGCGCTCTAAAATTTCCACAGAGGGTCAGTCTCTGTCGAATCTGTGGCCCACACATCGAAACGCCCATCCCACGAAGGTGTGGACGTAGCTGACTCACTGATCCTCTCCTTCCAAACACCTCGCTCTCGTCCTCTTTCGAGTTACAGCAGCACTGTCCGCCCTATAAGTGTTTGCACTAAAATTGAGTATCAAAACTAAATAAGAAACCCTCACCCCGTTACACCTTTGGACTGGCACACTAACGACATTGAATTAATTCATGAATGGAAATTGCAACAATTGCCTCTTATCATTGTTCAAGAATCTTTTGATGGCTACTATTTCGTTTCTCCAGAAAATTGTCTCGAATGGCATGACTTAAGCCGATAACGTTACATGACTAACCTCAATTAGGGATAGAATGTGTAAATACGTGGCGTGCAAGCCCATTGTTCAGACAACATGGAGACAACTCCAAACGTCATTAATTTATCTAAGAAAAATTAAACTTCAATGGACGAATAAACTAAACGTGCAAACGTCTCGTCGTCAGTTCTTCCCCGAAGAAGGTGAGTCGAGTCCTGCAATTTTGATTGTATCTCAACCCATAATCGATATTAACTCGACAAGCCTTTTCGTGAGCCAGGCGTTTTATCTAAATCACTCGATCGCGATGTCAGAAATTGGCATCAGAAATAATATTTCTGGAATGGCGTAGGTTGGTAAGTGGGGTGCGATTACTCGTAGTTCAATCGTATCTCTGACGTGCCTTCCATTTTCACGTTCTGCCAGAATTGAGGGAATTAGTTAATATGTCTCCAATTATGAAATGGGTTTTGTTGCTCTCTCGAGAGTTCTTCATTCCCAACCCACGCGTGTTTGTCACGACAACTATTCAACAAGTATGTTGGAGAAATTTATAAATAAATTTGGGAGAGAAAAGTTAGAGCAATGCGATCAATTATTTAAGCGTTTCTGTTATACCGAATTTATTCTACATTATAAGTAAATTTGTAAGAATTTGTCGACATTTTCAAAGTATAATCATTTACACAAAGACATTTAAGGCTCCAACACCATTAAAGAGTAAAAAACACCCGAATCTCTCT